CATTTATCTATGCAAATGTCACTTTTGTTACGAAAAGTAGAATTTGCAAAAACTAAGAGGACCAAACCTCTGACAGAGCCCACCGCAGGTAAGTAAATGTGACCATGCCAAACGTTAAGATGCTGTACCAAGCGTCTGACAAATGAACTACACCTTTTTGTAATCATATCATGCCAGATTCCATCTGCACCAAAAAGCAAGTCTATTTTCTCTCCTACTTAAAATGCAGAAAATGATTTTATAACTCCAAGCAAAAAGAACATGTTTTTTCCATGAAGTCCAGGTAGTCAAAAAAGCTTTAGATCAAAGGATCGGTTTCCTTTTCAGAAGACAAATGAATGGAAAGAACCATTAAAAACAACAAATTATCCTAGTCTACAGAAAGGATCTTTAAGGGACCATTAGGGCTTATTTATTCAAGAAAATGTTACAGCTTTTTCGGCCTTGCAACAAACTCTCCAGTGATTTGGTATTCTTCACTCGTCTTCTGAGTCCTTAGAGAAGTCATAAGAGGTCTTAAGAGACCCTTCTTCACCTAATTCTGGTCTGGATCATACTCGGACCTTCAGTGAAGTCAAATCCACACCTCCTTTAACTCATAATGTAATACTTCCCACTCCCGCACTTTTCTCTCTCTTTTTCATAGTAGTTTCAAGACAGGTATATTGAAACTAAAACTCAAATATTTGTTACTAAGCTTCTCATGATTAACATCAGCACCTCTCAAAATGCCTTCAAGCACATGCCAATTAACCTAGCATGCTATTAAAGTATAGCAGTCTTCTGAAATCATTTTAATATTTTCCAAAAAAAAGTATTTCTTCTCTATCTCAAATATAACTTCAATGAAGAAACACGGCATATTCGTTAATTTTGACACTATACAAGCAAGGTACAAAGGGGAAAAAAGTGGAAGATTAATTTATTCCCTCAAAAGCAAATACTACAATGAAAGGATTTTCACTAATATCATTCAATTAAATTTCTTAGGGAAAAAAGCATCAGTTCCTTTTGGAAATATGCATCCAGAACAATGAAAATAATAATGCTAACTAAAGTTTTAGATGGAAGCAATCTCTAAAGCATTTAATCCATTTGCTTATATTCATTTCACACTTTTATGTCACAATCCATAATTCACAAATCCAAAGCATGACCTCAAGACTATTTTCCATACCCATTAGAAGTCCATGGGGCTGTAGCATAATCTGCATAATTAATGAATTCCATCAGCCAAATGCCAAGTCAAATAAAGAGCAGACGGAATATGAGCAGCATACTCATCTGAAGCTGAAGTCCAGAGAGCTTAAACGAGTCAGACTTTTAATCAGACATCTCAACTTAATTATACAGCATCAAGAAACCTTCGGTTAAAAGGTAGCAATTATATGCCTTGTAATACTCTCAATACAAATACATTTACAATCAAGCACTAAATTTAAATCAAAGGAATATAAGCTTGATAGCCAAACACAGCAAATAGCTTCCTGATGGTAAAATAATAAATATACTATTTGAAAGAGTGGTAGAAACATTAAAAATTTTAGCTTTATTTAGGAATATCAGCTCTAACACTTCTGGGCACCACGACACAAAGACAACTCTGTAAATTGTAATGGACATACCATCTATTCACTGATGTTCTAATGCCCCACAAATTAGTAACAGGCCAGGGTAGCTATGCTGCTGGCCTCCTCACTACAGCCTGGCTTTACACCCTGCAACTGCTTGACATGGCCATTCTGTTGGCAGTGTCAAAGGTAGTACTAAGCACTTGCATTTTTTGGATAGTTTTTCCCCTGATTCCAGGGCCTTCATATTATATTCCTTGCCCAAAACTAAAGTGGAAATGGTTAGAAAAGCTTTTCTGACAAACACAAAACTGAGGTCAATTGCCATTGTAATATTGAGAAATTCAGCTGCACCTCCACCACGATCACTTCCAGTTAACATCTTTGCAATAAAAAAAAGTTCTCCCATACATCCTAATGTGGCAGACACCGAGCTAGATCAGAGCCTTTAAGAACTCCAGAAGAATTCAGATCATGTTTCTTTACTTAGTGCTTCATTCTGAAAATAATCTCACCCCTTAGAGGCGGTTCATTAAAAATACTATCATAGCTATTAGCAAATTGCTCATTCTTCATCTTGTTACAGAAATTAATTGCCTACTCAACTCTTTGGTAAAGATATCTGCAATTGGGCTTCCTGTCTGCAATTTCAGTGTTGCATGTCCTAACTTCATGCCAGAAGACGCCACTTCTGTACAAAAAAAGCATTTTAGTGGAAGCCTAAGCATGAATAAAGAGAAGAAGTGGCCAAAAAGAGAGTAGATGAAAAGTTTAAAAAAAAAGAAAAAAAAAGTGCACTATGTAAGAAGTCCCAGACCGCTATAAAAGCTTTTTCAATACAGTTGGAAAGTCAGGTATTTGGGTTGGTGTTCACAGACAAGCACTCCAAAAAATGAGCAGTCTCCTTTAACAGAAAAAAAAAAAAAATTTTACTCAATTTCTAATTTTGATACTTGCATCAAGCAGCTAAGATATGAGTATATACATACCCCAAAATAGTGAAAACAAACTATTTAAATCTGCAACTCCAGTCCAATGTCAGCTATAATAAGCAGATTTCTCATGTCTAATTTTTCCTCTGTTTTACTCTTAAAAATATGTATAGGTTTTCCTATGTATATTTGTATACATTATATACAAAATGTATATATTTATAAATATCTATAAATACTGTATAAGATTAAAAAAATACAAAAGATTTAACATTTTTCCTTAAAAAGCACAGATCTTCAACAGAGCCTTAATTTCACTAATAAAATGAAGATAATATTGCAGTTAAGGTGGTACTGAGACTTTTGTACACACTCATGCACACACCCACATATTCTCTCTGTTTAGACCCTCATACAAAACTTAGGGTAACTTGAATAAAACTCAGGACCTCTTAAGCCTGTGTCTGCTGTAGCCATTCATAGGAACCACTAATAGGGCAAAGCTGCTCACAGTTTCAAGCTCTTGCGGAGTCACTCACCAATAACCATAGCGTGGTCAACAATATAGTTACTTTCCAACTACTCATGCCAGATTACAACACTGGCTACAACCTAAAGGACAACACTCCAAGCGTTGCAGGTTTCAGGACTTCTACTCCCAGCATGGGCAACTGCTCTTACGCAGCCAGATATCTGAACAGAAAGTCAAGGTATTTCAGCTGAATCATTTGATCATGCTGATCATTTTCTGTGAGCCTTTTTTTCCCCACTCCTGTATGCACCTATTTAGTAAGCCTCCTTAATCAAGGTTCCCATTAGCTTTATGACTACAAGATGAAGCTGTACTTAATGATTAATTTCAGGTATCTTTCGTCTTGGTTCTGCATGTTTTAGCAGCATTCCTACTGTGTAATACTACTACAGCTTTTGGTTTTTAATATACTCAAACTCAAAACCGACTCTGGACCAGATATGAAAATTGACTCAGCTTCCTCAATGGAACTGACGCAAACTAGCTAATCATGAACATAAGGCTTACTATAGTCCACATTCTCCTACAGGGAAATTCTTTTGTTAAAAACTCACCGAGGAAAAGCTGAAAGGTCAGAGCATTTCAGATATGAAAGATAAAGATCACAAACGCTACTGACAACGGGAGACTGCTAAAAGTCTAAGGAACGTGGCCCATGAATCTACCAAGACAGGAAACACACGTTTGATATATCTCATAGTCAGAAACACACTTTCACCACTGTTGCTTTTTCAGCGTGAGAGCACAAAGCCACCTCTGAAGGATTCTTCTGCACCAGGAAAGCCAGAGCATCATCTCTTTAAAGATGGAAGAGATTCCATGCTACTCCAGAAGAAGGTATTACTTGCACC